GACTAGAAACAGCGAGGTGAGGATATCAAATGTTGCTTTCGTGTTATATTCCACCGAGCGGACTGCAATTTTAATCGCGATACTGTGCACAAAAAACCTTGGTTATTAGCGAATGTTTGATTTTATACGATGCAGCGTGATTGTGTTATCGGAACAAGCGACGAACTACGACTAATCGCGTTTCTTCCGTTTTCGATTTCGATCGTTTTCCGATCAAATTGCAAAAATCCCTCGAGAATTTGATATTCGAAATTCGAATATCTCTATTTTTCTTTCGAATTTCTTCCAAATTTTAACCATTTATTAATAACATTTTAAAGAACTTTTGTATAACATATACGTGCATAGAATTTTTCTTTCACTACATGTTTGTTAAAATTGGAACGTATACAAGAATTTTTGAGTTGTCATTCAACATTCTGATACATAAATCAAAGTATCACGAACAAAATATATCCAAACGAACCTTACAACAAAACTGAAGATTTTAGGCAAGAAAAAAAAATGTATCGATCACCATGTATACTCTAATAATTCTCAATTCTTAATATCGTGAAAAATTTATCTATTTTATCGACATATGTATGGTAGGGAAATATAATTTCTATAATTTTATGATTTTTTCACGATAAAAAAAGAAAATGAATTCTTAATACTTTATCTAATATCAAAATACACGTGATTTTTATTTTTAATTAATCATAGATTCTCTTCCATCGATATGCAAAATATTTTTCTCGGGGATCAATCGTGTAAGATAATTCTTGTCACGTGTATACACACGTTCCTTCGCTTTGCAATCGCGAATTTTTTCACGATTAATCTCGAAGAAGACTCGTACACGAAACGCACACTATAATTTCAATTTTCCCTGTTCGATAAACATCTTTCCATAATTCGATAATCTGTATTCGATAAACATGACACTTCGATTGCAATATAATTTCTGGTACGTGATACGATATTGAAGAGCAGATCTATCAATTTATGAATAATTTAGGTATTATAGTAGCGTGTTAATGTTAATAGAAATTAATTACAGGTAATGGAACGTAACGACGTTTATTATATATCTTTATTTTCTTCGAGAAAAAAATTTGATAAATGAATATTAATTTCGTGATGGCTACTTTAAAATATAATCGAAGACATCTTTTTACGGGATGCGAGTCTTTCGAAGATAGATAATAAATCAAAACTCCATCCACCTTCTCGGATAATTGATTTCTAATAACGAAGAAAAGAAAAATCTATTTCCTGTATTCTTCATTATTAATTCCCTTTTTAATTCCTAATCAATTAAATTCTCTTCTAATAAAAGCTAATATTAACTCGACAAATATACTCGAGAAAAAAAAAAAGGAAAATAACAAAGGAAAAATGAAATTGAAATCGGATAATAAAAATGAGAATGGTATTCAATCAACGACCAACAGCCGCTCTCCATCAACCTTGCGGTGATCCATCAACTTTCTTTCGCTCGCTCCTGCACTCTTTCTCGATCCTCGACCCAATCTTCGCTCATCCTTCATACTCTTCATACAGGTTCGCTCGTCAAGGTGACGATGTTAACACTTGACACTTAGGCGGATCACTCTTCCAATCATCTTCTGTTGGACGGCTGTTGATTTAGCATTGTCCCCTAAAAATATCGCAACACACCAGCATGAAATACCATTGAAATTATCCGTGACGAGAGGCGAGCGTGTTGATTGGAAGCGCGGGGCAGGTCGAATGTTAGCATATATTAACCTTTCTCGGTGCATAGAGGCGATGCGCCTCGATGCAAACCCATCTGCGTCCCATCCGTGTCATTGGAAAGAAGAAGAAGAAGATCCCTCCTCGGGATCTCTCACTTTCCCTTTTCGTGGGTGGAACGACGACGACGCTCGCCTCTGACATCATCGATCACGCGGGAAAGGACGTCCTAGCAGGATACCCGTGCCACTTTTGACGATGATTTAGACCGACCTCGGCCCGTTCACCACTCCACGATTTTTAAGCATTAAGGCTTTGTTCGATTATTATTCATGGATGAAACTACGCGTGGTTCTGGTTCCACGATTGATTTCTCGAACGTGTCGAGCGAAAAGATACGATTTACTTTCGGCCATCGTTGGAATGGCGGGATTCGGGCAAGGGTTCGAGAGGCGTGGAAAGAAAGTGATATGTGTCACGGTATTTCGAATGACGATTGGACAATTTTTTTTTTTCGTTCTCTGTTTTTGTACAATAAATATAAAAATTGAATGATCAGGCCAGGTCAGGTGTATTCGATAAATTTAATTTTCTTGGAAACTTTAAGAATGAAAAAATTTTATTCAACGTTTAATTTCGCATAATATTCTGTTTACGATGCACTCGTATCCAGTTAGAAATTCGAACTCAGGTGCATTTCCATATTCGATATTCTTAAAAATAAAAACGTTTATTTTTTCGACTTATTTTTACACGTAGAATCACTTGTTCAATTTCATTCTATCTACGGAAATATTTTTAGAGTGACTGCCCGTTTTACATTGATCGATGATGTTGGGATCTCTTTAAATAGCACAATGTACACATCAACCAGATTGAATTTAATACGAAAAAAATGAAATTACAAAAAATTCAGCATACTCACCATCAATCTTCCATTCGATCGATCCAAACACGTTCCAAAATCATCGTAACACAGTAAATGGAAATTCTGCAAATGGAAATTGAATGCAAAATAAACTTTTATGTACGTTTTTTCTTTTTTTTTTTTTTTTTTTTTTTCCTTTGCGTCTATTCTTTTATCAAGCAGATAACTCCTACGAGACCAAACGTTCAATGCCAATTTGTATTTCATTACACATCGGTCTTATTGTCATACGTTTCGCCAAGCATAAATCATCACGTTACAACTGGAATAAGAGAAATCATAGATCAGAAGCAGAACAGAGGTATCATTAATCTGATTGAATAGGATTTACTCTGAACAGGGTTCGCGAAGCGTAAAGTAACATTTCAATTTGCTTTCTCAAATGGGTGTAACAGAGCAAATCATCAATCATCGATTACAAATTGATAATCTTATGTGTGTTTTAATGTCATAAATGAAAGAAGATATTATATCTCTATTAAATAGATACTTTTCGGTATACAAACGTAATCAAATATTCTCTTAATGCGTTATTTACATTTAATTGTTACTATATATATTTTTATTATTTCTAATTCACGAAGCAATCAAATTCGACGAGATATTACGCGAAATCTTCGTCAAGATTTCATTTACTGGCTTACATCGGTTGTAGGCGTTGACAAATAAAACAGGAATCGCGTAATAAAACATTCAAACGATCCATTTAACGCATCTTTAAATCCTTGGACGATATGGTTTACGACCGCAATAGCGTTCGCTGTTAGTATGAATTTTTCAAAAGGGAATGCACATTACAACTACATTCAGCATTAAACTATGTTCAACTGATATTGCGCTTTCACTTAAGCTTTAGAAGCTCTCTTTTATTACACTCGAGATATTCTTCCAGTACCTCATAACCTTCATCGAATGCAATATAAATATTTTTTGAAACCGCAAGAACCGTGGAAAAAATAATTTAATAAAGCGTGGAAAAAACATTTCAATGAAACATCGGGTGAAATTTGTATGTTAATTGTGTCGTATTGTTACTTCACTTCGCCGCGATAACCGCCATTGCAATTTGTTGGCGAAGAAGCGACCTCATCGTAAAGCATCGAAGTAACGCGATGACGAGCGAGAAGCAATAAAAATTGCGCAATCTTGTTATATTATTATTTTTCTTCTTTTTATCATATCATCGTGCAATAGTTATATACCAATTTTCAAGATGTCGTAAAAAAAATCGAGATAAAAAAAGAAGCACGGTCAAAATAGCCTTTAATGACACTCACTGCGGATATCTGAAGCCAAAGCAATAAATCTGACTGATTTTTTTTATTCCTCGACGATGCATTCGTGTAAATGTGAATCTTTTACGGCTTTGATTGACTGAAATTAATTTTCACTGAAATTTCGAGAAATTAAAAGCAGCTGAATCGTAATAACGATTATATCGATCTTCCTAAGAGGTTTATCGATTACGAAACTTGGTGATGTTTCAACGAGAGATCGCGCGACCTTTACTTTTAATTATTCTAAACGGCAATGCGAACGAAAAAGGCTTTTTATTATTTTTTTATTCTCTGATTAGCGAAAAATAACTCGAGAAGTTGATTTTTACTGGACTTCAGGCATGAGAAAATTAAAAGCTGCTGCTAATCATGGCGCGGCACGAGTTTTTGCTTACTCAAGATAGGATTAAAAGTGAAAACGAAAAAAATTAATAACAGTATAATCTTTGTTTAAAGGATAATGGTGAATATTTTAAATATTTTCAAAAAGAGATTTCATCTTTTGGGCAAATATCGCTATACCTGATAAAAAATATATAGGAATGAATATATTGAAAGAATAAGAATAAATTGAATAAGAACAATTGAACTACAACTGAACTGTTGATTTTGTATTTTCGAATTTATGCAAAATTAATTTTCTATCGAGAAAAATTAGAATTAAAATTAGAATTTGTTATTCTTTGAAGAAAATAAAAAAATTGAAAGATACAAGAGCAATAATTTTTAGAAAAGACTGTAGATGCGTGAATATATTCCGGCAAATGTATTATTTATGAAGTAAATGGCTGACTTGACATTTAAAATGACGTGCCATGTTCTTACTAAACCTTTGCTAAGCTTTTAAAAGGTGAACAAGATTAGTCTGGCAAAAGTCAAGTTGTCAAAGAAGAATTAGAATACGCATTGACAGATTTCCCTTTTAACCATTGTCTTGTTGACAAAGTAATTATACAAGTATCAAACGAAATGCTTTGTTCACAAATTTTTCAATATTTATAATAAAAATTATAACGAAATCAATTTAAACTGAGAAACAGGAAAATACAAAGACGGCAAAAATATCAAATTAATTATTACACATTTATTTATAACAGGTGATTGCCACGTCTTTGTTGCAATGCACACAGCAAGAAGGAAGTAGGCAAAGTAGAGATGTAATACTCAATATCAGTGATGATCAAAAAAGTCAATATTTAAATCAAGATTTCTATTCCAGTAAGTATATAATTTCTTATTAGAATTATAATAGATATATTTTTCATATGTACCAATACATTAATTTTCGTCTTAGATGCATACAATTATGGTTACCAAGTAAGTCCGAATGGACAATTCCATCACGAAGTGCGTGGACCGGATGACATTACATATGGATGCTATGGATATATAGATCCATATGGAAAATTAAAAACAACTTTTTACATTAGCGATGGCTGGGGATATAGAGTCGTTCAACCAGGAAATTCAGTCGAACTGTTCCTTCATGAACATGAACATCACCACGAAGATGATACAGAACAACATTATCAAGAACACAATGATAATCACCATGATCATAATGGTGTAATTACGGAATGGAGAGATCTATATTTTCCAGAAATATGCAGACAATTCGATGGAACAGATTCTCGACCAAACACTAAACCAATCCCAGAAGAAGGTAACAGTTATATGACATAAATAAACTGTAATTATTATAAAATTATCTTAACGCAAAATATAATTAACATAATTCCTAATCATAAGAAGGAACGAGTGGATCAAGCAATGCTGGAGTACCTATACAACCAAGCCATCCAACACAAACGCCGGAATATCCTATTAAACCTGGTACGAACAACATTATATCTTCAAATTTATATGACATCCACGAAAAAGCACACAACCATATATATTTAGAAATATAAGTAAAATATAAAAAAATGGAACAACAAGAAAAATAAAATTTTATTAACAGGATATCCTCAACAACCTCAGAAACCAAAGCCAGGACAAACAGGAACATCAGAAATGCCAGCGACGATGGGATATCCTGGATACCCTGGCAAACCTGGAATACCAGGACAACCAGGATATCCAGGAACACCTGGAACACCAGGAACAACGGGAACACCTGGAATACCAGGAATACCTGGTAAACCTGGAATTCCAGGAATTCCGTCACAACCTGGATACCCTGGAAAGCCTGGACAACCGGGGCAAGTAGGACAACCAGGATATCCAGGTGCACCTGGACAACCAGGACTTCCTGGAACACCAGGAATACCAGGAATACCTGGAACGCCTGGAATTCCGCCACAAGTTGGATATCCAGGTACACCGGGACAATCTGGACATCCTGGAACACCTGGATTACCAGGAATACCTGCAACTCCGTCACAACCTGGATACCCCGGTCAACCAGGAATACCAGCACAACCAGCACATCCTGGACCACAAACTGCACAAAAACCTGGATATAAACCTCCATATAAACCTGCTCAACCTGGAACTCCTGCGCAAACAGGATATCCAGGAACACCAGGAATTACAGGAACAACGGGAATTCATCCACAGCCTGGTTATCCTGGTCAACCTGGAGTCCCTGGACAACTAGGACATCCAGGAACCCCAGGAACGCAAGGAACTCCTGGAACTCCGCCACAGCCTGGAATACCTGCTCAACCTGGAATCCCTGGGCAACCGGACACCAGGATATCCAGGAACGCCTGGAAAACCTGGAACTCCTCCACAACCTGGAACACCTGGTCAACCTGGAACCCCTGGACAACCGGGACATCCAGGATATCCAGGAATACCAGGAACGCCAGGAACTCCACCACAGACTGGATATCCTGGTCAACCTGGAACCTCTAGCCACCCCGGACATCCAGGATATCCAGGAACACCAGGAACGCCAGGAACTCCTGGAACTCCGCCACAGCCTGGATATCCTGGTCAACCTGGAATCCCAGCACAACCGGGACATCTAGGAACGCCTGGAAAACCTGGAACACCTGGGCAACCTGGAACCCCTGGACAACCGGACATCCAGGATATCCAGGAACACCTGG